ACACACACACACACACACACACACACACACACACACACACACACACACACAGACACACACACACACACGCACACAGACACACACACTCAGACACACATTGCTTTTCTTGCAACACGGCGGGCGGGTTTGTAATACACTTTGTTGAGGCGACATAATATGTTTCAAATTCAAAGTTTTGTTTGGCTGTAGATCCTGTACTTTTGGCTTACGAGTGTTATGGTTTTTGGTGTTTTTGGGTGCTTTTTAAAAAAAGTTAAAAATAGTTGTTTTACAGGAGAATTTTACTTGTGAACCCCGCCCCCTCCCCCCTTTCCGTTCCTTCGTGGAAATTAAATTCACTTGGTAGGTGTTTGGAGGGTGTTCTGGTGGTGTTTGTTCCTTTTTTCTTATCAATCATCTATCGTCCTCACCCCCCTCCTTCATTTCTTTGTTCGTAAATGTCTAGCAACAAATGTAATCTTCTGTGCTAACTGGTAAAACTCTCACTAAAACTAAAACAGAAACTCACCTTTTCTGTGTGGAGCAGTGGAGAGACTAAGGACTCCACCACAGAGGGAGCAAGTGTTGCTGTGTAAGTGTGTCTCTGGGAGAAAGTGTATAAGTTTAGAGCGCCTGCAACGCGGTAAGGATTTTAAGAGGCGGGATCTCCGAATATAAGGTCCACATCCATTAAGATGGAGCCAAATGAGAAAATTCGCGTAAAGTGCCCATTCCAAAGACACAACGCCAGACCGAGCAGAGCCTCGAACTCCGAACTCGCAGTCTCACGATTAAGGAGGGTCCACCAGACTACCAACACCAGCATGGGTGTCTGATCCTTCGGGAAAGTTTTAATTCATAAATAATAAGTCAGATCTAGAGGGGTTTTTTTTCTTTTCTGTTTTTGTTTGTTTGGGTTTTTTTAAAATCTTTCTTTTTCTTCCTTTATTTTCGTGCATTTCTTACTCCTTTTGTTATGCTTTTTTTTTTACATATTGTTTTGCGTGGTTTTTTTTTTCGGTTTTCGATTTTGTTTTCCACTTTCACAGGAAAGACCATTTACCTTGAGGAATGAGACGAACGTAGTAGACCCAAGTTCGATTCCCAAGTGGGGAGAATTTTTATCGAGTTCATGTATTTCGGTCTGTCCCACGTGATATTGTTTCTTCACTCTCAGCCGGGATTGGACCCGACACTCACATATAGACAGGCAGACAACTCGATAAATATACAGGTTACACAGACATACTGACACAGAGATAACACACACACACTCACACACACACACACACACACACACACACACACACACACACACACACACAC